AAATATATAAATAATAAATATATAATAATAAAATAAATAAATAATATAAATAAAATATAGAGTAATATAAATATAAATATAAAATATATAATAATGCAAATATAAAATATAAAATATATAAATAATAAATATATAATAATAAAATAAATAAATAATATAAATAAAATATAGAATAATATAAATATAAATATAAAATACATAATAATATAAATACAAAATATATAATAATACAAATATAAAATAAATAAATAATATAAATATATAATAGTATATTATATAATATTTTTAATATTATATATAATATATAAAATTATAAAAATACATAAGTTGTCGAATAAAAAAATTTGTGTGTGGGTCGTTGTCATATAATATTACATACATAAGACGATATTTAATAAACGATGCACGCTATATATTAAATATACATATAATCCAAACATATATATGTATAATACTATATAATAGTTGTTAAAACGTAGACAATTATCGGTGAAGAGATTTGTTCTTTATTTTTCCCTTCGTATACAGTAAATTACACGTGGAATCATCGTAGAATTTCAATTGGTGAAGCTAATCGTTAGAAAATTAAGGGTCTCGTAGTAAATTCGATCGATTTAACTCGTGGTCGGAGGTACCAAGTAACTCCAGGTAAGGATCTCTATTTTCCATACACACGCCCACTCATGAACTTTACATAGGGAGAGAGAATGAGAGAGAAAGTTAGATAAGAAGACCAAGAACAATTTCCGGAAACTTCTACACGTTACTTGAATTATTCCTTAGGTCGTGTCATAGCAATTGCCAAGCTTAGCAAAATAAATGAAAACTTTTTTACCGTTAAAAGTTTTCGTCCAATGAAATTGCACCAGGAAAATTGAAATATTTTTTTCTTTTTTTTTTTTTTTCAAAGGAAAACCAAGAAGAAGAGGATTGCAAAAAAAGAAAAAGATAAAAGTTCTAATCAAATTTGCCATTATATATCTTGCAAATTTTGACGAATCAGCAGTTAAACGGAATGGTGGATGGATAAAAATCTCGTATATTTGAAAAGAATCTTAAAAGAAATGAGATCTGTAACTGACTATGCAATTTGTATGATTCGATAGGAAAACGCGTAACTAAGCGACCAACGATAAAATTCAGAAGTTAAGGGTGAGAGAGACGAAGTTTCCCACCCCTTTTTTTTTTTTTT